TTTTTTTTTTTTTTTTTTTGTTGTTTGGATCTTGTGTGTCTATTATTTTGCTTAAAAAAACTTTACTCTTCACAAAGCCGTTGACGAATAAATTAATACGCAGACTTTACTGACTAGTTATTAATGCTTTTTTTTTTTTTTGAGTTTTTCCAGATTTTTTAAAGCTGTGTTTGAAGTGTCTGATTATCAAGATGATGCAGTTTATGTTGTTGTTCAGCCGGCAAGGGAAATTACGGCTGCAGAAGTGGTATGTGGCGTATCAGGATAAGGTATTTAAAATTTGTTATGAGCGTTTTTCTACACAAACTGCTAGCTGCCGTCTTCATATTTTAAGGAAGATTTAATATTTCAGATGAAGAAAAAGATTACAAGAGAATTGGTGACGACAATTTTAGCTAGGAAGCCAAAAATGTGTGCATTTTTAGAATACAAAGATTTGAAAGTTGTATACAAACGGTATGCTTTTCCCTCAATCAATTTTTGTTTTTTTTATTTTTGGACAACAATTCAGTAAAATCTACTCGACTTTTCTAGATGCTTTGAAAGAATGATACACACTTATCGGTTCAGCTTATGCATTGATTACATCAAAATATTTTATCTTTTGTTGTGATTCAGTAGGTGTTCTCTAGAATTGTTTTAATGTTACAGCAGTTTGTATCTTTCAGGTATGCTTCACTGTATTTCTGCGCTGCGGTGGAGCAAACAGATAATGAATTGCTGACTTTGGAAGTAATACATCGTTTTGTAGAACTCCTCGATAAATATTTTGGAAGTGTAAGTCGTTTTACTAAATTTTTTTTTTCTCAATCCAGAATCAACTTCGTTTGTGACCGGAAGAAGATAGAATATCCTCTCTGATTGTCCTATAGCACAGAGTTAAAAAAGACAACGTTGCAGGTATGCGAATTGGATATAATTTTCAATTTTGAAAAAGCGTACTTCATACTGGATGAATTTTTATTGGCTGGAGAAATCCAAGAAACTAGTAAGAAGCAGGTTTTGAAGGCAATTGCGGCACAAGATCTGATTCAGGAGGTAAATGTTATTTTATATATTGTTCATTTCGTGAAGTGAAAACTTACTTAGAGTGAAAAATTCTTTACTGCAGTTTTCTGCCAGAATAATTTTGGATCAGTGAGTTTTAATTCCTTCATTTATTTTAATAATTCTTTTATTTACTTAATTTCTTCACCTTCTAAAATGAGTGTCTCAGTGCGCAAAATACTATGGGGGATGTGCTTGTAGATACAAATGTTACATCTTCGCAAAACAGATTGACTGACGTTGTTTTCAGGAAGAAACTCCGCAGGGTTTCTTTGAAGATCACGGACTGGGTTAATATGATTGTTGTCAAGGATGTGTTTTGAATACATGCCAGTGTGGTTTGTCAATACACGTTGAAGTCTTTTGAGCTTTCAACTTCAGCCACTTTCGACAAGTTTGTTGCCGTGTTTCCCGATGGGTTTGTTTTACAGTTATTTTGTTTATATTTTGGCTTTGCTTTATATGTTTCAGAAACTTTTCTAGTGGAAACGTTGTGTTGCATTTGAATATCACTGTTGGTATTCTTTGCTTGTTACTGCTTCCTACTTGCGCATATTCATCTTTTACTGTTAATGGCGACATTAGCATTAAAGGCACAACTTTTCCCAAGTTTCAAAGAGAATTTGCAAGTTATAAAGCCATAATGATGACCTTTTGTCTTCAAAATCGAGCCATATTTGAATAATCAGTTCCTCTTTTGCGAACTTTTTCTTTTTGTTTAGCTGCTTCACTTCACACTCACATTCTTCTTTTCTGTGATATTACAAATTGTTTTGTGTAATATGCTTTATTTCTTGTTATTTGCCTTGATTTAAGTGGCCACGAAGAAAAGCGTTATACATATTGTTTTTTTCCGGGTTTTTATTGCTGAAAGCGAGTAGTGGTGAATTCCACTTTTAATGTATTGTGAGTACGGTCACAGTTTCTTTGAAAAAATCATTAGTAAGTGATGCTTAAATAGGGCGGACATCGTGGTTTTAAAAAGTTGCTAGGAGCATTGCTGAAAATAGATGTCATTTTAAACTAAGACATGACTTCAAAAAAAGATCTTTGCTTTGGAAATAGGTGATGGAAAATCTAGCTTTTTTTTAGACCGATTTAAGTGATGGGTTTTCTTTAACTATTCTTTCTGATTTGGATGTTTGAAAATCATGAGATACTGCAGCCTCTCTTCGTAAGCACTGAACTTTTCTTAAATTGTTTTCTGCAGGAATAGCGGTTTTTGTATGATTTATGTCGTGTCATTTTAAGAATTAATTGTTGTTGACATCCAGTTCTGAGGTGATTTCGTGGAATCTGTTTGTCGCTTTTTGGGTAATGGAATAGTAGTTACACGTCATAAACAGTTGCTTGTTTTTTTCTTTTTTTTTGTTTTGTTTTGTTTTGTTTTAGTAGAAATGAGGTAGATTTAAACTTTTTGAATGTTAGGACTGAATCCCATAGCAGAGGTGCTAGTATTTATTGAAAATTGATTTGCCAGTCTTATATATATGCCAAGTGTATGTTATGAGATCTTTTCTGAATGATAAAGCTCGTTTTTTATGCTAGGTTGTACAATTCTGAAATTTGTTAGGACCGGGCAGGCATCTCAGTGGGAAAGTAGATAGTTTGTTTTGGATTGAACACAATGAATACACAGTGCCTTCGATATGGAACTAATTGAACTGAGTTTCTGATGTCTGCTGAAGTAACATTTGTAACTGTACTGGACTCTTCAAATCGGTATTGAGCTAAGCAGAGAAGACAAACGACTACCTTCTGGTTACCAATTGGGTTCTGAATCAGCGCCGATTGTGGCAAACAGTCGAAGAAACCTTGTTTAATTTGAAGAATTTTAGTGGTTCTGATGTGTAATAAAGCTACAACGGACTAAATATTTGAATCTGATTACTCAGCTCATATGGCATACCGCTTGTTTGAAGTCACATGAAAGTGGGTGAATAAATGAGTGGAGAATGGTTTTTGGGTGATTTATCTGATTTGGAACAGGTTTTTTGAAACGATCGAATTTTGATGTAATTCTTGCATTGTAAGTGATCTGAAGGCGAATAAAGTTTTGAAGTTTGTAATATTTGTTAGGTCAAAGGTCAACAACTAATTTTTGGGATGTTTGTTATGGCAGCTATAGATGAAGAGGAACTGCTGAAAGTGAAAGATGTCATTAACAAAATTGGAAGGTTGCGTAACAGTTGATGACTGACCGTTCTGTTAATCCCAATTAGAAGTTCTGGTGGCTGTTTGATAGATGTGATGTCGGAAAACTGCATGGTTAGTAGTGCCTAGAAAGCGGCGATTGAAAGGTATGTCTGGAAGTGCGTTGGTCATTAAGACAGATCAGATAGACGTTGATGCTTATCGATTATTCTGTCCACATTCGTATTTTTCCATCGGTTACTGTAGATGCCGAGGTTTAAGGTTAATTTAATGAGTAAAACAGGAGCAACAACAGATGGATTATGCCTTGATTATCCGGGATGGGCAATATTGGTGTACTACTGCTCGTAGTTTAACACTGGGGGATTGATTCGGCGGGAATAAATTCGGTTGTTTCATAACGACATCAAAGGAGAGGGTGAAAGGAAGGCGGGGAAAAGAAAAAATTTAGTGAAATTTGGGAAAGTGGAAGGAGACGTTCGGTGATAAGTCGACAAAGAGAGTAGACTCGTCATTTCAACTAAAATTCCACTGTTAGATCCTCCCCTCGGTGGATCATCTGGTGGTGGTTATTCGGTGGTGTACGTTGGTCTGCAATATTGATTCTTCGACTGCCACCGTCTTGTAGTCAACTTTTTTGTATTGTATCTTTCAAAAGCACGTATTGTTGTTCTTTTTTCGCCAAAGATTTGCCATGAATCTCCTAATAAATATATCACATGTTTTTCTTTATTTTTTTTTTTTGCTTTACTTTTCAACAAAAAGTTACCAAACTATTGGGTGAAAAAAGAAAACTTTAACAGTAAATTGAATCAAATTTATGAGTTAACTGAATGTGGTGTATTTATTGAAAATTGATGTGTCAAATGTAAAGCGAGTTCTTTTCTGTTTCCGCCTAAATCTACTTTTCTTTCTTCGTCTTTTTTTTTTTTTTTTTACAAGTAACTATTGTGAAAAGCAGGAAAACTTTCATCGCAAAATAGGGTTTGAAGTTTTTAGTTGTTTTTCTTTTTAGAAACACAAAGTGTTTTTTTTAAATGGCTGGCAGCTACAGAAAATTTATCATACTGTTGATAAGGAAAAAAGTTCACGAAGTTTTGTCTCAAAAAATTTTTTTTGTTTTGGTTTGTACAGTTTTATTAATCTACATTTTGTGCTTTTAATATCTG